GGCGGGTGGTAGCGGGGTTCAGCCCGCCCTCTCCTCGCCCGGGAGTGAGGATGAGCGGAGACCTGGGAGCGGAGCGGCGTGGGGGGAGGCGAGCGCGAGCTCGTGGCAGCTCAGCTGCTACCGCGGACAGCTCAGGTACTTATCGCGGGACAGCTGGAAGGGTAAGGGTACTGCGGGGACAGCTCGAAGGGTTACTGTGCACGGACGCTGGTGCATGCGCGGTCCCTCTGTGACTGAGGTCTCAGGAGCCTCTCCTGCCCTTACTCCCAGGAGCTTCAGGAAAGGCTGCAGGCTCCTGTTCCAACACCCATGCACGCTCACTCATTCTCAGTTCGCTTTTGCTGTATTTCCTAATTATTTAGAATTAATGGCAGCACAGCAAAGAACTGACACAAAACAAGCAGGCAGCCAACCAGATGGAGACGATATTTGTAAACAGTAGCTCTGACAAAGGTTTAATTTCCAAAATGTATAAAGAACTCATAAAACTCGACACCAGAGGAGAAACCAAGATGGCGGCATAGGTAAGCACAGCACCGGAAATTGCTGCACACAACCACTTCAAAAATACAACTAAAAGACAAAACGGACATCATCCAGAACCACAGGAAGGTTGGCTGAGTGGAAATTCTCAACTAGAAGGAAAGAGAAAAGCACACTGAGACTCAGAGGAGGTGCAGAGGTAGAGTGCAGAGGTACCGAGGCGCTGAAAGGGGTGGCAACTGAGGACACGGCTGTCTTTTTCAATCCGGAGGGAGTCTCAAGCTCCCAACTGCTCTGAACTCCAGTTCCGGGCGAGTCTCTGGGGACCCAGACTCATTTGGGGAGAAACTGGACTGTCTGGCATCAGTAAGAACTCGAGGGCGGCTTTCTCTAGGAGGTGCTTGCAGCAATTACTGGGGACACTGAGACCCTGGGCCTCTTAGGGTAGGACTGAGGATCAGCCATAGCTTCTTGCTCCGCCCTGTTGATCCCCTGAGACCCTGCCCCACCTAAATGGTGCACAGAGGCTTTTGCATATGAAAGGCCTGGCCCTTTGCAATCTGAAAATTACCTAAGAAACTGCAGGTGGGCCTGACAGACCCAGAACTTCCAAAAGAAGGCCCAAGGACCCACAGCTGCTTGCATTGCTTCATAGCTGGGCCTCATCTGGGCACCTCCAAACCCCAAACAAAGAAGAGGAATCTGCAGATCTCTCCATAGCTCCTGCTGGGTAGCCTCAGGCAGAGGCTAAATTAGCACCTCCTTAGAGATCCAAGAGCCAGTGTACCCAGTGGTCAGAGTGGGACCATCCAGATTACAACTCCTCAGATCCATAAGGGACACACTCAGGGGGCAGACTCAGTGAGCACCAAAGCCCCACTGAAGCAAGTCTTGCCCCATAAGGGTGTCTCCAGCACAGAAGTTCTCCCACTGCAGACACAGCTGATTATCACAGCCAATTGGCCTGGAGGTCAATTCTTCCCAGTGATACCTACAACAATCAAGGCTTAACTACAACAAGACTGTGCACAAAGCCCACAAAGGGGTGCACCAAGAGTGTCCACCTCAGTAATTGGGGAGGCTGAGCCACTGGGCCCTATAGGACACCTAGCACAGAAAGCCACTCTATCAACACAGGGAAGCATAAAAACTGCGGAGACAAAGAAACAGGTCACAAATGACAGAAATGGAGGAAAGCAAACTACAGGATATAGAGTTCAAAACCACACTTATAAGGTTTTTCAAGAATTTTCTAGAAACCGCCGATAAACTTAGTGAGACCCTCAAGAAATCTAGTGAGACCCTCGATCATATGAAAAAGGACCAACTAGAAATTAAGCATACACTGACTGAAATAAAGAATATTATACAGAGTTCCAACAGCAGACTAGAGGATCGCAAGAATCAAGTCAAAGATTTGAAATATGAAGAAGCAAAAAACACCCAACCAGAAAAACAAAAAGAAAAAAGAATCCAAAAATATGAAGATAGTGTAAGGAGCCTCTGGGACAACTTCAAGCATACCAACATCTGAATTATGGGGGTGCCAGAAGAAGAGAGAGAGCAAGATATTGAAAACCTATTTGAAGAAATAATGACAGAAAACTTCCCCTACCTGGTGAAAGAAATAGACTTTCAAGTCCAGGAAGCGCAGAGAACCCCAAACAAAAGGAATCCAAAGAGGACCACACCAAGACACATCATAATTAAAATGCCAAGAGCAAAAGACAAAGAGCGAATCTTAAAAGCAGCAAGAGAAAGAAAGTCAGTTACCTACAAGGGAGTACCCATACGACTGTCAGCTGATTTCTCAACAGAAACTATGCAGGCCAGAAGGGAGTGGCAAGAAATATTCAAAGTGATGAATAGCAAGAACCTACAACCAAGATTACTTTACCCAGCAAAGCTATCATTCAGAACTAAAGGTTAGATAAAGAGCTTCACAGATAAGAAAAAGCTAAAGGAGTTCATCACCGCTAAACCAGTATTATATGAAATGCTGAAAGGTATCCATTAAGAAGAGGAAGGAGAAAAAGGTAAAGATACAAATTATGGGAGAGAAACCAAGATGGTGGCATAGGTAAACACTGGAGATTGCTGCCTCGCACAACCACTTCAAAAATACAACTAAAAGACATAACGAACATCATCCAGAACCACAGGAAGGCTGGCTGAGTGGAATTTCTACAACTAGAAGGAAAGAGAAAAGTATACCCAGACTCAGAGGAGGTGCGGTGCTGAAGTAAATACAAAGGTGCGGAGGTGCATGCGGAGAGGGCTGGCGGCTGAGGACACGATTATCTTTTTCAATCGGGAGGGAGTCTCAGGCTCTGAGCTCCAGTTCTGGGCGAGTCTCTGGGGACCCAGACTCATACAGGAGAAACGGGACTGTCTGGCATCAGTCGGAACTCGAGGGCAGCTTTCTCTCGGAGGCACTCGCGGCGATTGCCAGGACCTCTGAAGGCAGGACTGAGAGCAGCCATACTGCTGGCTCGCTTGGCCCGCCCTGTTGATTCCCTGGGACCCCGCCCAAGCCGTGCACAGAGGACTTTGCATATGAAAGGCCCGGCCCTTTGTAATCTGAAAATAACTTAACAAACTGCAGCTGCCCCAAGGCCCCAGGGAAACTTGCATTGCTTTACAGCTGGCTTCTGCTGGGTGGCCTCAGGCAAAGGCTAAATTAGCACCTCCTTAGAGATCCAAGTGCCAGTGTACCCAGTAGTCAGAGTGGGACCATCCAGATTACAACTCCTCAGATCCATAAGGGACAAACTCAGGGGGCAGACCCAGTGAGCACTAAAGCACCACTGAAGCAAGTCTTGCTCCATAAGGGTGTCTCCAGCACAGAAGTTCTCCCACTGCAGACACAGCTGATTCTCACAGCCAATTGGCCTGGAGGTCAATTCTTCCCAGTGATACCTACAACAATCAAGGCTTACCTACAACAAGACTGTGCACAAAGACCACAAGGGGGTGCACCAAGAGTGTCCTCCTCAGGTAATTGTGGAGGCTGAACCACTGGGCCCTAGAGGACACTTAGCACAGAAAACGACTTTATCAACACAGGGAAGCATAAAAAATGCCGAGACAAAGAAACAGGACACAAATGACAGAAATGGAGGAAAGCAAACTACTGGATATAGAGTTCAAAACCACACTTTTTAGGTTTTTCAAGAATTTTCTAGAAACCGCTGATAAATGTAGTGAGATCCTCAAGAAATCTAATGAGACCCTCAATGTTGTGATAAAGGACCAACTAGAAATTAAGCATACACTGACTGAAATAAAGAATATTATACAGAGTTCCAAAAGCAGACCAGAGAATCACAAGAATCAAGTCAAAGATTTGAAATATGAAGAAGCAAAAAACACCCAACCGGAAAAGCAAAATGAAAAAAGAATCCGAGAATACGAAGATAGTGTAAGGAGACTCTGGGACAGCTTCAAGCGTACCAACATCCAAATTATAGGGGTGCCAGAAGAAGAGAGAGAGCAAGATATTGAAAACCTATTTGAAGAAATAATGACAGAAAACTTCCCCTACCTGGTGAAAGAAATAGACTTCCATGTCCAGGAAGCGCAGAGAACCCCAAACAAAAGGAATCCAAAGAGGACCATACCAAGACAAATCATAATTAAAATGCCAATAGCAAAAGATAAAGAGAGTATCCTAAAAGCAGCAAGAGAAAGAAAGTCAGTTACCTACAAGGGAGTACCCATACGACTGTCAGCTGATTTCTCAACAGAAACTTTGCAGGCCAGAAGGGAGTGGCAAGAAATATTCAAAGTGCTGAATACCAAGAACCTACAACCAAGAGTACTTTATCCAGCAAAGCTATCATTCAGAATTGAAGGTCAGATAAAGAGCTTCACAGATAAGGAAAAGCTAAAGGAGTTCATCACCGCTAAACCAGTATTATATGAAATGCTGAAAGGTATCCTTTAAGAAGAGGAAGAAGAAGAAAAAGGTAAAGATACAAATTTTGAACAACAAATACACATCTATCAACAAGTGAATCTAAAAATCAAGTGAATAATCTGATGGACAGTATGAACTGGTGATTATAATAGAATCAGGGACATAGAAAGGGAATGGACTGACTATTCTTGGGGGGGAAAGGGGTGTAGGGGGTGCAGGAAGAGATTGGACAATAATCGTGCACCTATGGATGAGGACAGTGGGTGGGGAGTGAGGGCGGAGGGTGGGGTGGGAACTGGGTGGAGGGGAGTTACGGTGGGAAAAAAGAGGAACCAATGTAATAATCTGAACAATAAAGATTTAATTTTTAAAAAAAGATACAAATTATGAACAACAAATACACATCTATCAACAAGTGAATCTAAAAATCAAGTGAATAAATAATCTGATGAACAGAATAAACTGCTGATTATAATAGAATCAGGGGCATAGAAAGGGAGTGGACTGACTAATCTCTGGGGGGAAAGGGTGTGGGGGTGTGGGAAGAGACTGGACAAAAATCGTACACCTATGGATGAGGACAGTTGGTGATGGGGTAAGGGCAGAGGGTGGGGTGGGAACCGGGTGGAGGGGAGCTATGGGGGGAAAAAGGAGGAACAACTGTAATCTGTACAATAAAGACTTAATAAAAAAAATTAATGGCAAAAAGCTTGGCACATGAACTTGGCATTTTAATACTTTAGCATGCATTTCCCAACCACAAGGGCGTTCTCTGACATCATCTCAATGATCACCCTCAGGACGGTTAATCAATATTAAAGTTCTATTACATTATTGGATGATGTTCGGTCCACAGTCACACTTCCCCGGGTGTCCCAGAGATGTGTTGTTGCAGCGGTGGCATGTTCCTTCATGCAGGCCCCAGGCAGGGAGCATGCCTCACGCCCAGTAGTTCTGCCTCTGGTCTTCCCTGGAGCCCTTCTCCAGCTTCGGCTGTTCTGGAAGAGTCCATCCATGGTGGAGGGATTAGTGGGAGGCGGACTCTAGGACATCAGGAGCTGCCTTTTCCTTTCTGTGTTCTCAGCCCCTGGTACCCAGCCTGGCTGTCAATACACAACTAGTGCATACTGATGAGATGAGTAAGGCTGCCCAGAGGGGCTGAGAAAATGGCTTTTATTAAGTAAATTTACCAGGGTGACGTTGGTTAATAGAATTATATAGGTCTCAAGTGTAGAATTCAATGATACTTTATCTGTATATTGCGTTGTGTGCCTCCCACCCAAAGTGAAATCTTCTGTCACCATATATTTACCCCGTTTCCCCGCCCCCCCCCCCCCCCCTCTTTCTGGGCTGAGAAAGGTGAGCCTCGTCCTCTGTGCAGTGGTGAGCAGGTTGAGGACCCTTCGTTCAACAGCCATTCTTGGCACAGTGAGCAACTGCGGGGCCTGCCCCAGGCGCTTAAGGGCAGTGATTGAGCCTCCAGCGTCTGTGTTATTGAAAGGGCTCAGCCCAGCCCAGGAGGAGGTTCGAGAAAGTGCCTGGCACGTTCAGGAGGACCCCTGCCCCGTTCTCTCGCCCCTGACCCCACCCACATGGACTTTAAAAAGGTGACCTGGGAGGGCCGTTATTCCTCCGACCAAAGCCTCGGTTGACCTCGCCTGTGAAGTCTAAACCTAAGAGAGATAGGTGCCTCACTCACCTGCCTGTCCCCTACCCCGGGGTCCTGGGCTTGTGCTCTTTTTATTTTATTTTTTATTATTTATTTTATTGATTTCAGAGAGGAAGGGAGAGAGAGGGAAATGTCAATGATGAGAGAATCATTGATCGCTGCCTCCTGCACACCCCACACCAGGGATCAAGCCCGCAAGCCAGGCATGTGCCCTTGACTGGGATCGAACCTGGGACCCTTCAATCCACAGGCCAACAGTCTATCCACTGAGCCAGACCAGCTAGGGCTGGACTTGTGTTCTTGCAGTTCCTCCTCATCTTGCCTCTGCTGTGAACACTTGCTGTCGGGTTCAGCTGTCACCATGTCCTGCGTAGCTCTGTCCCCAGCACAGAGGTGGGGCGTACACAGTTTGTCGACAGGCGATGAGACCTTGGCTTCGCTTGTTTCGGTTCTCCTCCTCTGCCTGCGGAAGAGAGAGGTTTTCCAGTCCAAAAGGGTTGCTGAGGAGCTGTGAGGGTCCTGCCGAGGTGGGCTGGCAAACCAACACTCAAAGCGGGTCACGTGCCCTCATGAATCTTTCCGGTGTTTTCCTGATCATTCATCTCATCACATGCAGGTGTGGGGTGCAGGAACTTGCAGCAGAGGGATGGGGTCCTTTTGCATTTACTTGATTCACCCCCATCCAGGCAGGAAACCCCTGTCTGGTGTTTCGTTGTGTTCCCCAAGCACCCAGCATATGCCTCGGCTCCCTGGGTACGTGGCGCATATTTGTGGATGAGTCATGCAGATCCGTTGCAAGTGCCATCTGACCTCTCCCCGCTGACCTGCCATCTGATTCCTTGTCTTTACTTGACCTAATCATAGCCATTAGCCAGGAAGTAATGTTTCCACAAGTCACACTCCAGAGGCCCTCATTAATTTATTAGTGAAAAGTCACTGAGCCGTTAGGGAACGTGCTGCAGGAATTGGGCTGAGCAGACCCTCTCCTTGGTCTTAATATGTTAAGGTGGGAAAAGGTCTTGTTTGCAGCCTCCCCACGAGGTGTTTTGGTTTTTGCTTCAGAGGCTGAAGGCAGCCGTCCACTACACCGTGGGCTGTCTTTGCGAGGAGGTTGCCTCGGACAAGGAGGTGCAGCTCAGCAGACAGACCATCGCAGCGATTTCGGAGGTGACCTTCCGGCAGTGCGGTATGAAGCCCTGGCCTCCCTGCATATGGATAGGGGCCCCAGCGGTTGGTTTGCCTGAGAGAAGTGTGTGGGTGGGTGCCGTGGGTGTGTCACCACCGATAGCACGTTATCACCGACACTGTTCATGAAACAGTTCTTTTCCTGGCTGTCAGAACTATTTTTTTTCTATTACACTAACACTGGGGCATTAGCACCTTTATTTTATTGTGTTTTAAACTGCCTGGAACATTACTGGAACATTAGACATTAAATTTTTTTTTTAGACATTAAATTTTTTATTTCCTCGCTTTATAACATTTTTATATCGCCCATAGTTTATTTGACAGGTGAACTTGTGGCATTGGTATTTGCTTGACTTCACAGGAAATTAATGTCCTCCAAGCCCTAACTTGTAGCAAAATGTAAAAAGTTAAGGGATAGTTTCTAGGAATGAAGGTGTAGCCACAACTACCAGGAAGCTTGTAATAAAGGGTCAAGGTGCCGAAGGACAAGGAGGTCATAGTGAGTCAAATGGCTCAAGGCGCCTGTGCAGGGGGGCTGCCGGGAGTGTCCCCTCTCACCTTGGAGAGGGTGTTGTATCAGTTACTGTACTTACTGCAGAAATCGAGAGAGATACCACTTTTTCTCCTGAAATAAGACTAAGATAAGGGTAGCTGAAGCGCATCTCTTTTTCTCTTTCAGAAAGTTTTGCCAAAGACCTTGAAATGTTTGCAAGGTGGGTACAGAGCTTGATTACCTGCTGCTGTGTTTGTTACATTCTATTGATCCTCTCCAGCTGGTGGGATATTTCAGGAGAGGTTTGGGTTTGTTTGTTTTTTGCATTTTGTGGAGGCTCATCCCTAATCATGATTCCACAGGAATATGACATCTGCTTTAATCACGTCCATTCAGGCTTGATTTTGCATTTTTTTTGAAATTTTCCAAGTATTTTTTGATCAGGTCTAGGTTTAAAAGGCATGAATGACGTCTCTGGGACTCTGAATGTGCGGGGCTTTTAAGACCGTTTCTGCAGGAGGGTGTGATGCTGGGGTCTGGTCCCCGTGCCAGGCCAGGCTGCACTGTGCGCCAGGCGTGGTTGCTGGCAGGTGGCCGGATGATGACAGCACGGCCCACCGCAGGCTTGTTCCGAGTGAGCTGTACACGCCTTGAAAAGAGGGTGACTTGCTTTCAGCTGGTAAAGCTCTAGCTTTTACAGGTGATTTATGCTCATCTCTTCAATTAGTACCTCAAGTAATTGAAAACAATTGCAATGAATTGCTTTTATGAAGCAATTTGAATGACTAAGGCCTGAAAGGGCCAAAGCTTTCTAATTTGCTGCCACTTCTGATTTGGTGCCAGCCTCTCACACCCCATCCTTTTCACCTTGCTCCTAGTAGCTCTTTGTTTCTCGGGTGAATATTTTGAATGAATTAAAGCATAGGTTCTCAGAGGGCAGGCTCTAAATCTTTCCTATTCCTGTATATATGAGTCCCTAAAAACTGCTTAGCATCTTCAACTTGGCCAAAAGGGACAAGATAATATTATGGGATACTGATAGCTCGTGTGGTTTATTCATTGTTAATTCAGGCGGTTGCCCCATATGTGAGGCCCATTATCCCCAACCCCTCTGTCTCCTGTGAAATGCACTTACCACCATTACTTGCCATTTCTTTTCTCTTTTTTTAAAAATGTTTTAAATAAAACTTTTTTTATTTGAAAGGGAGACACGAAAGTCTAAATAAGTAGGCAGATTTGATCTGAACGTGAAGCTTTGTGAATAGGAGCAGGTTTCTCACGCTGCCCTTGGGACAGCAGGATTGCTGGGGTGCGGGACTGGCCGAGCACTGAGGGTGCTTACTAGCGGCTCTGGCCTCTGCTCGCCCCTGGTGTGCCCCCAGTTGTGACCCCCCCTCATTTCTGTGTTAGCTGTGGGACAAAGCAATGAACATTTTTAAATGCTTCTGCAAAAATATTGGAAATAAAAACGAAGTTAGAAATATTTAGCATTGTAATCACTGAGCGTTCAGTTCCTCTGTTTTTATAATCACATTAAAAGGTTGATTTCTTTGCCTGGTCCTGGGGGGAAAGTGGTGTGTGTGTCACTCAGACTGGAAGTCCACAAGGAAGGACATCATCTTCTAAATCAGCGGTTCTCAACCTGTGGGTCGCGACCCCTCTGGCGGTCGAACGACCCTTAAACAGGGGTTGCCTAAGACCATCCTGCATATCAGATATTTACATTACATTCATAACAGTAGCAACATTACAGTTATGAAGTAGCAACGAAAATAATTTTATGGTTGGGTCACAACATGAGGAACTGTATTTAAAGGGCCAGAAGGTTGAGAACCACTGCTCTAAAGGAAGGAGTCTGTACGGCTGTCAGTGCTGCTGTCCCGGTGACACCAGCGGAGGCTGCACTAACTGCAAGAAGCTGCAGCTTCTGCCGTGTCCACGTGTGTCCACGTGTGCACATGTGTGCACTCACTGCCCCCTCAGACTTCCTCCCAGCACCCCGAGTGGATGCAAGAGCAAATGTTCTTTGAAGACTCAGCCTTTGTCGTAATTTTACGTTGGTTTTCATAATATTCCTGTTTTCTCTCATATAAAAAAAATCCTGTTTTAAAGGTCATCACTGAATAAAATGGATATCCCCAGAGGTCAGCTTTGTTTGTCCTGGGCTTTGAGTTTCCCCCTCACCCAGGCTCTACTGGAACTATGGTTACTCTGAGAAGTCTGAAATAGGTGCTGTTTAGGCTTCTCATAGTAATCCGAGTTCTGCAAGTATTCAGTAATCTTTGTAGGCTGGCTGGGAACCTAACCATTGTTTATGTGAGAAAAAACATTTAAATTCTAAATAATCAATTCACCTATAAACTTGGGAAAATCATCTCAATTTAAGTTACGAATTTCTCTTATTTAGCTTTGAAATCTCTAGTCACCTAGTATTGTTAACGTGTTACAGATGAAATGCTTTGAAGAAGATGTTCTGTAGTAAGTACATTCTAGGAACATCCTATATAATAAAAGGCTAATTAATATGCAAGTTTTCCCCTCGGGAGTTCGCCAACCGGGAGGTCAGCCACTTGCTATGATGTGCACTGACCACCAGGGAGTGGCGCTGAACGAAGGAAGGCCCCGATCGGCCCTGATTGCTGGCCAGGCTTAGGGACCCTACGTGTGCACAAATTTTGTGCACTGGGCATCTAGTTTTGGTAATAATCTTTAAAACCTAAAAGTGTTATAGGAAAAATGGCTTTGTTCTTTTCCCTAGAAGTTTTGTGGAGTCAGGAGTTTGAATTAGGAGTGTCTGGTGTAGAGTGACCGGCATAGAACATACCCACCCCTCCATGGAGGAAAGTATCCACACCACACGTGGCAGAGACACTAGATGAGCTGAGTGGTAGAGAGGACTTTGTTGTTCCCTAAACAATTCTTTGGGAAGAAATAAGCTAACCTCACTCTGGAACTAGTTCAGTGTGCTGCTTCCTTTTACTGCACTTCACCAAGAGTGAAATACTGACAGAGCAGCCTGACGGTGTGATTGAGGCGAGGGGCACACTTGGCCGTGGCACTTAACATCCTCCACCCAGGACATCAGCGGCGTGGCCTCACGCTGTGGCTGCTGCTGTGTCACCTGGCTGACTTCCCCCTCTCTATCGTGGTCCTTGCAGGTGGCTCATGGGAAGTATCTCCTGAAATGGACATTATCTCAGGACAGGCAGCTATTGTCCATCATGATAAGATGACACATAATATTTGCACATTTATCAGGATGGGAAGGAATAATCTGACCAAATGATGGAGTATAATTTCTGTGTGACTTTATCTTTAATTCAACAGATATTTAGTGTTGACTACTATGTGCTGGCCACTTAGGAGTACAAAGATCCCAATCTATGCCTATGTACAAAGTTCCTATTTATTTTTGAAGGAAGTTAGAAATGGCAAGAAAGGGTGTAGAGTTATAAGTTATTGAATAGAGCTTATTATCTAATTACCTTAAATTTTAAAAAAATTTATTGATTTTAGACAGAGAGAGAGAGGGAGAAGAAAGGGAGTGAGGGAAGGAAACATCTATTCCACTTATTTATTCATTGGTTGCTTGTATGTTCCCTCACCCAGGATCGAACCCTGAACCTTGGCGTATCAGGACGATGCTCTAACCTGCTGAGTGACCTGGCCAGGGCTCAAATCACCTTTCCAAGCAAAGATAGGAGGACTGGATTGAGAATTTAAGTCCAAGTTATAAGCAAGAAACGACTCTGGTTTAAAGGATGTTCTTTGTTCTAACCAGGCTCTTGCCGAGGGAGCGCATCACCTCCTTGAGGGGAAGTGGGATGTTAGGAGACATCTGCCCAAGCTCTTTGCTGTAAGTTAGTCCTGGGAGAAGAGCTTCAGGATCTGGATCTGAGAGAAGCCATGCCTCACGGAAATTCTCTTTATTCTGCTTAACGTCTCTTAAGCAGAGGCGATCTTTGTGTTGTGAGACTGCCGTTCCCTCTTTTCACTGGAGGTGCGCAGTGACCTTGCTTTTTCTGTGGTGTTTGCTGTGACCATGGTGACCAAGCGTCCCGCGGAAGGTTAATGCCTCACGCTCCTGGCCGTGCTTGTATTCCTCAGGCACCCGCGGGGAGGTGGGCAGATGGGCTTGGCTTTCTCTCGGTCTCTCTATTTAATTGGTATCTTGGCTAGTCACTTCATTCATTTTTGTGTCTCTGTTGCTTAATGACCTTAATCTGAAAAGATGGGCTACTTAGAGATCCTTGCTAGCCTGAAGTCTGACCATGAACTTTTGTGTTTCATCAAAACTTTAAATAATACCAAACATTTTGGTGAATTGTTTCTGCCCTTTCTACAGACATGCGAAAAGAAGCACAATTAACACGGAAGATGTGAAGCTCTTAGCCAGGAGGAGTAATTCACTGGTGAGAGATGAATTTCTTCCCTCACTCCCCTCTCCCATCAGAATACATTATTCCCAATTAATCACTTGCAGCCATGAAGTGATTCCCCAGGGCACCTTGCATTAAAAACGAGAGATGGTTGAACCGTTCAGACCTGCCTGTAATTTATAGTCTTCCTTTCATTAAGATGGATCTTGCCAAGCCAATTTGAAATTTTCTAATCAGCACTCTCTGGATTTCAGTTTGCCTTTTTGTAATATCTCAAAACTTTGGTCCCATGTTTCATTCACAGCGTGATGTCAGCGTGGGGCACAGGCCAGAGGGAATGGGGATAGTTTATGGTGCCCACAGTTTTCCGAGGGGCCAGGTATGGAAGGAATATCGGGATAGCCGGGGTGGGCAGGAAATAGTCTGTCTTTTCAGAGACGTCTGGGAGTCATCTTGACCACGTCCTTGTTTTACAGGGGATGCTGTGATCCCCCAGCCCAGTGGCTGTGCTGACGGCAGATCCAGGACACCCTATGAGGTTCCCTCACTTAGTCCGATCCTAGCAGTTAAAATACTTTCTGTTCCTCCCCATAATGTGAGCTCCACGAGGACAGGGATTTCTGCCTCTTTCTTTTCTGCTCCATCTGCTGTGCCAGACTAAAGACAGGCACACAGTAGGTGCTCAATAAGTAGTTGTTGAGTGAATTTCTGCAGCAATTGACTGTTTATAGGGTTTTTTAAAAATAAATATTTAACATACCATCCAAGCCTCACAACCACCCTATGAGGATTAACAACACAAGTCATTAGCCCATTTTACAACCAGGCAACTGGAGTTGGTAACTTTCCACAGTTAAATATGAAGCTCTCGGGTTGACAGCTGAACCTTGACCTTCTAAACCCTGAATAGTGCTGTTTCTACTGGGCTCTTTTTGGCCTTTGGCCTTCTAACATTCTTTCTCCAAAGTTTACGTCAAGGTTGAGGATGAGATGATTCCCAAGTACAGTAGGTAAGGTGCCTGGTGGTGCTGTGAGCCAGTGGGAAAGAGTCTCTCTTCATGAGTTCCGAGTCGTAACTGCTACTTGGTCAGCTGCAGTGAGCAGTTTCTATCTTTTGCAAAGAAATGGTCAGTGCAAGTCCTCTTAGAATATAACCTGCTGTTGCTTATTTGTTTGTTAGACTACGGTTTTGTTTTGGACTCTTATTTTTTTTCATCGGACAGCAGCTTATTAATGAAGACATGCAGCTAAATTTGTGCATTTGACTAAATTGTCCCTAAAGGCACTTACCTTGTTTCCCTGGTATGTGGTACATAGTAGCTGCTGAACAGTTTTAGTTGGACAAATTGGGGGGAGGGGTTGACCAAATTTGTGTTTTGTAAAGTATATTTGTGATTGGCATGCCTTCTGCAAGCTTCAAGTTTTAATTCATTGATTACTCAAGGAACTCCTTCCTGTTGGTAGCACATGTGAGCAGCAGTGAGTTGCCTTGTAGGTGATTCGGCTTCCGGAAGAAATGTGAAGCTCTGTCTAACTCCAAGGAATGTGAGCCAGGCTCTTCCACCCACATTCTTTTGGTGGGAGTGGGGGGGCGGGGGGGACGGGACTTACAAAATGGCTTTGCAACCAGATGAAAATATAATTTTTTAATTTTTTTTTTTTTTGTAGCTAAAATACATCACAGAGAAAAGTGAAGAGTTTAATGTAGAACGAAAAACAAAGAAGAAAAAGAAACTAGAGGATGAAAGCAAAGATTCATTGGAGCCAGCAGAGGCTGGAGGAGTGGGAAGTGAGAATTAAACTCTGTTACCACTTGGACAAAGCAGCCCTCAGCAGGGAGAGCCACCGAAAACGCATATTGCCACAAAGGGAACTTTGAAGGGAGAAGAGATTAAACAAAAACAAAAAGAGAGGCGAGGGGGCCTTTTGTGCTGTATTCTCCAAGCCAGTGACCGCAAACTTTAAAAGAGAATGGGAAACGCAAGCAGAGTGCTCCCATCCCGGGTCTCACTGCAGCACATGGAAAAGGTTCGTATCTCAATGGTGTATATTGGAAGTTGTATCTGTTGCAATTAATAAAATTGTGTCGGCAGTTAAATATGGTTGATTTTTTTCCAGCAAAAATCAGTCATTTCTTAATTCTTTTACGTAATTTTTTAGGCTGACAATTCCTGAAAATGAATAAAGCTATATTTATTTAGTTCTTTTGATTACCAATGTTTTAAACCCATGTCATGCGATCACAAGGTAAAAAGGTTTGGGAAATGTTCCTTTTTACCTTTTAAATGAGGTTTTCTCCAGAAGCACAGTTTTTGTGATTTTCCTCGGGCTGTTTTGTAATTAAACTGGTTCTGCTGGGGAGAAGTTTTGCTTGAGGAAACCTGGCCTGCGACTCCGAACACTCAGTGTGTTGTCCTCTGTCTTATTTGTGAGGTGATGCTCCCAGGAGCCCCAGTCTGTCTTCCTTTGGGGGTTGCTTAGAGGTCCAGGCCGTGCCTTCCCCTAGAGGGGCAGTAGGGTGAAGAGAAGGGACGGCATGTACAGAGCCCTTCCCTGTGCCAGGCCCTGCTCTGGGTGCTCCGGTCGTCCTCCCTGGATCTTCACAGCTTGTTCCGGGCACATCTGGTTATTCCCGTTTTACTGATGAGCAAGCTGAAGGGTGGACAGGTTAACCATCTATTGACCAGTAGAGACTGTGTACATTTGGGGTGCTGATTTGAGGGGCGAGAGAAAAAAGGACATGCATTTTAGACAGGATTTTTACCATCCATGCCCAAGTATGATGAGCAAAAGACACCCCAAAGTCCGACAGTCAAAAAGAGATGCTCAGCTGTGATCATAGTAAAGCATTGAATTCAAACTTTAGTTTCGACTTCTGCAAATAGCTCATTTCAGGTGTCAATTGTGACATCTGTGTCACATCAGTGAAGGAAAAGGAAACCAAGAAGCCTTCCATCTTTGCAGGACATTCCAGCCAGAGATCTGTATGCTGGCTTCATTTTCAGATAAACTCTCTTAAAACTCCTCATCAGGGAGAATCTAGAGACTAGATACGTGGACTTTCCAAAGGTTGACAAGCCTGGATTTGCACCCTGCTTTTGCCACTCTAGTAGCTGTATGACTTTCTGAAACTTTGTGTTCTTACTAGTAACAGTGACTAGGGTTAAAAATACCTGGCAGTGAGGTATATGTGACAGGAGGAGGGAATGGGAAAGGCCGCACCGCCTCCTACACAGCGATGTCCAGGAAGAGTTCATCGGAACATGCCTGTTCCCTCTACGGAACTGTGGAGTCCACAAAGAACCCTGAGGGTCGTTAGTCCATCTTCCCACCAACTGCGAACCCCTTCACCGCATTCCTGGGGTGTGGCTCCCCAGGCTCTGCTGAACTCCAGGGACGAGAGCCCCCTCTTATTGGACACTAGTTCCAAGTTTCTTCTGTTGATAGAGAAAACTCTTCCCCCTCCTAACGTCTCTCTGGGTCCTCTTCTGCCCTTTAGAATGAGCAGCCTTCGTTTTTCCTTTTAATCAAAGTTCCCATTGTATCTCTTTTCAGAAGCACACATTCTTGCATCAAGCATTGGATGATCAGCTGCCCGAAGGCAACCTTGGGTGGTGAACGGTGATCGCTCGGTGCTGGTGTGGTGCCTGGCATCGTGGGCACCCGGGGAAGACTTGTGCCCTGGAGTCCAGGATGTGCTCGTGGGATAAGTTGGAGCCCTTGCTTAGGTTATTTAGTTCTAACCAGGGGTTTCTAGCGTTCATAGTAAGGAAAAGCCAGAGGTGGCACAGAGGACATCCCAGTCTGCACGAAGCGGTGGCACCGTCCTCAGGAGGAGAGTGCGCCCAGGAGCTGGTCAAGTGCAGGTCATTCAGTAAAAAATGTTTCACACCTGACACACGAAGCAGTATATTTAATCTCACTCTTCGTGATGCACTCTAATTTCTGTTCATTCAAAAAAAGTGCTAGTTTATGACCCCCTAGTGGGTGGTCAGTAGCAGTTTGGAAAACACTGGACTTGAGCCTGGCTACTCCGGTGTCAGCATCACCCGGGTGCTCGTTAGAATGTGGGACCTTGGCCCCTCCTTGCACAACATGAGAATCTGCATTCTAGTCTTAACTTCATTTAGGCGGTTTGGTTCACATCACAGTCTGAGAAGGCCTGGGCAGGAGGACAGCATCTGGCCTGCTGGCTGGGGAACCATCACTGGGTTGGCCTTGCCTGCGATTTGGCGAAACCAGGCGATGCTGCTCTAAGTGGCTCCCTGAGCCCTCTTGCCTCCTTGTTTCTTCTGCCCGTAGCAGAGTCAGCCCTTCTATGGGCAGAATTGCAGGTTGTCAGCTCCTTACCCAAGGCTAAACGTATACCATGTGGAATTGCTCGGTTTTGTCCGCACGGCCTCCTGCTTGCTGTGGGCATGATTAGGAGGACGTGGGACTTCTTTAGGAGCAAGTGCAAATGAATTGCAAAGGAAGAGCAAATCTGCTCTAAACACGGCAAAGACCCGCGTCTTTAATGAAGGGTTAAGTCCCACCCAGAAGCGCCTTTGTGGGCACTGATTGCTCTGGCATATGCGTCACTGCTTGAGTGTGAGGGAGGAAGGGGTGCTGGCTTCACATAGGTAAGTATACAAAAAACCAGCTGCAGGTTGAGCTAAAAATACCCCCAGGCTCCAAAGAGACCCGCGTCCACAAAACACCGATTTCAGGGCTGCCAGGAAAGACGAGCAGCCACAGAGCTGGCGAGGAGCCAGTCAGCCCGCAGGATGCCGCTGCCCCTCTGCCTGCTGCTGCTGCTGCTGCTCTCCGCGGCCACCGCTGCCCTGCCTCCGGAGGGTGGCCTTGCCGGCCAGGACAGCGACAGTGAGGTGAGTAGTCCTGACTTGGCCACATGCTAGCCCACTTACTGGCTGTCTCGCTGCCTGGCCTGTTTGGCCACGCCTGTGGACTCCCCAGCATGCTGTGGGGCTGAACCTCATAGTGTTCCCTGCTGCCTGGGGTCCTGTGATGTCACACAGACCACGGAGTCTCGCTGACCACGGAGCCGAGGCAGTTGGGAAGTTCTGAAGCCCAGGTAGGCTTGCTCATGCTAGCGGTCTCCATCTGCTGGTCTTTGAATGCTCAGTGATTGGACCAGTCTATTGTACTGCGAGCATGGCGCTCACTGCACTATTAAGTCACACACACACTTCTAGAGTCTTAATTTATATACCCGGCACATGAATTGACATCGTTACTTTTTCATTGTGAGAACTTGCAACTTCTTGGGGTGATTTATTTTTCTCTTTTTTCCATTTTGAAAAAGTTCCAAGGAGAGTACATAAAGTTGACCATTAAAAATGGATTTTTCTCTGAAATTACCAGATGAGTCTCAGACAAGTCATTTATCATCAGATTACTCCTGGAAGCTTTCGAAGGAGTTTGAAAGACCAGGATCTAACGTCTCAATCTGATCTGTCTTGAAGAGCAATTTGTGGACAGCCAGGAGGAAGGCCAGAGAGGGAAAACCTGCTCATCTAATTACCTGATCCACCTCGGGGCTCCTTAGCTGCCACTTGTCGGGGAAATGGCAGGTCTCCTGACCTCTTCGAATTAAGAACCTCAGCAAAGATTACGGGAAAAATAAGCTGTCTTTTTCTTTCCATGATTGAGAATTCTCAACTTTTCCTTTTCTTTAATTAGAGCAATGCTGCTAAGGTGTTCTCTTAACTTCCTCACCCTTTAAATGGATATGTGATTTATTCTGGAGCAATTTTATTGTTTTGAAGGAAGGATGGAGGTATTTGTCTTCAGTTGCTGGCTGAGCCAGATGGTTGATTTTTCTTTGTCCTCTGCTTCTTTCCAAAAGCATATGCAGGAAGTGGCAGAAATGAAGAACAGCCTGTTGACTTTCCTGGCTTGGTGGTCCGCGTGGACCTCCCCGGCCAGAGCAGCGCCCTTCACGGGAGGGGCGGCCGGGGAGGTGTCCAGGCGGCAGGAAGGCCCGCCCCCGCAGCAGTCCCCGCGCCCAGATAAGGTGCCCTGCAAGAACTTCTTCTGGAAGACCTTCTCCTCCTGCAAGTAGAACTCCACCAATTACTCATGCAAGGAAGTGCGACGATGGATCCAAATAAAATGTATGAAGCAGCCGTGACCTTTCTTTATGCAGTTGTCTTCTTGTTTCTGTGTAATTTGAAAAGTATTTTTAATTTAAACTCCAGCGGTGCCCAATACTGAGTGTCTTGAGTAATCTGGAACCCAAAGTGAATATTTTTGATAGATTTTTGTGGGTTTTGCTGTATTGTGCTCAGTGCAGCCACAGGCCTTTCCCCCACCTTCATTATCTCTTCCTTCCTTTGATTTAAAATAGCTCAAGGCTATATATTTAAGGGTTCAGAATAACATCTTATTTCAGTTTATATTGATATAAATTGTCTAATTTAAAAAATATTGCCCTCATGTTAAAAGCCAATTTTTAACACCACTCAGAGCAAAATAGTTATTATTCATGATTTAGCAAAAATTTATATAGAAACAAATGCCATGCTATTAAACAGACATTATGCTGACATGTTCATAAAAGTTACATTCGAACCTGCTGTTGCATACGTACTCGTTTTAATGAGTCAGTTAATCATTCGTTAGAATTCTTTTCATGGATGAGCGCTTCAGGTTTATTTCAAACCCAAAACAGCGAGCCGTGCTGCTGCCGGCCCGTGCAGCCTGCTGGCCTCCTCCTCATCCAGGGACCTGCAGTCCCAGGTCCAGACCTTGTTTGCAGACAGTGCCTCTGTGTTGGCATGTATTGTAATTGTTATAGTTCCCCACTCCCAACAATTTCCCACAGAAGTGACCGTGAATGATTGTTTGAGGAGGGGGATTCCTTTCTGGGATGTAACACAGAGCAACGTTGAGCCCAGGAGGACCAGGATTTTGGTCGGCTCAAGAGAAAGTTACGAGTAAACAAGTTGCTCAGTTTCAAAACCCTCATCAAATTTTTAATTCTTCCCCCACAGCACGGAAATCCTTGCTTGATTATACATATTTATAACTCTTGAGTCATAGATTCTAAAGAAAGCTTCCAGGGTGAGGTTTTTAGATGGTAAACTTTAACGCTGAGAGATTCATCCCTGGAGTTAGGGCACGTTTCTGAGGGTGAGGCCTGGCATTGAGGAGGCCGGCAAAGGCCGGCTGGAGGACACGGCGATCTTCCTCTTCTCTGACACCAGGGGGGCAGGCTCTCGGGTCTGACTGCTGACCGTTCCGTTCTGTTTTCCGCAGAGCTGAGCTCATATTCATAATTACTCGCTGAGTAAAAGTATAATGTGATAGAAGAGCCTTAATGGCATCCACATTTCCAAACACAGCAGCTTTAGGAGACAGTAATTGGGTCAGCACACTGGTGACGCCGTGTGCCCGAAAGACCAGCTAACCTTCAGAACTTTGTCTTGGAAGATTTTTCCAGAAGAAAAGCATGGCCATTGTTTTTCAGTTTCAATTGAGGTCATACACACACAGTCCTTAAGATTGGGATTTTAACTTTGAACTAAGTGATACCTGAAGGATAATGAGGCTAAACTAATGAGACTGCCAGGCAATCCATCAAGCCCAAGCCTACCTTAGTTCAGGGGGATTAATAAAATGTGCACTGGCACCCACTGCATGTTAGACTAGATTAATATGCTCACGATTAATACAGTTGGGTAAAATGGGTAATTAGGGTAATTTCCTACCATCAGGTTTCTGGTAGACTTTCTTACAGTCTACCTTTCTGTAGTTGAGGATAGTCAAAGGTGTAGATGTGGGACGTCAGTGCCTGGACAACTTCTCATTCATTCTCTTGCCTTTGTTTCCAGCATTCATCACCAGGATAGATCCCTAACTGCTGAGGGAGAATTGTGACAGAAGCACTTGACAGAAATCCCTTCCCACTATTCACAGTTCAGGGCTGACAGCAGCTCTTCCCAGGCTTTTGGAAACTCAGGCCAGTAAGCCCATGCGAGATACTTAGACAGCTTGATTTAACAGCACCTGCTGAAGGGTTAACCACATCTTCACCGTAGCAGCTTCTTCAGTGGAGATATGGATTCCATGTTGAACAAATCAGAAGAGGAAAAGTCATGTAGGCGTAAAAAGAAGGAAGTTTTCTGTTTCTAGACTAGAAAGGAAGAGGCAAAGGACAGCTGAGCAACCCCCTATTTAGTTTCTCAGAACCCTAATGAAAACACTGATTTACCTTTTTCCTCTATAATTAAGTAGGTAAGTGGTCAAGAATACATATGTTTGTCTCATTAAAATAATTACAAGCTGGAGAAAAGCTAGGATTTTTTTGGTTAAAGTTCTTGTAACATGGTATTAGAAAATATTAAAGAAAACCCAGTCAGTATCTATGCCTTAACCTGTTGGTTTGCTTCCTTGTAATTGTGCAAGTGTTACGTGATTTAATTCAAGCAAATACCCAACTTAAAGTTCTGCGATCTGAAAACCCAGCGTGTCTCCTGGGGAGGCTTCCCCCCGGGACAGAAGACCCACAGCCAGCCATGTAGGGGACTCAGGCAGTGGCTAGGTGTCCAGACTAGATCATTTTCAAGGTCCTTGAAAACCTCAAGTAATGGAACAACATAAACTGATGGAACTAAAATAGACCCAGAGACATGGAAGCATGGAACAGACCATCTAACCTCAGAGGGAAGGTGGGGTGGGGGGTAGGGGGTGAGAGATCAACCAAAGCACTTGTATATATGCATATAAGCAGAATCCATGGGCACAGACAGTAGGTGGGGTGAGGGCATGTGCTGTGGGGTGGGAACAACCGGGGAAAGGTCAAGCGGGAAAAAGGAGACATATAATACTTTAAACAAAAAGAATTAAAAAAAAAACACCCTCAAGTAATAAAAGACACAACCAAAATAATTTAAGGCAAAACCCTACAAAAAAAATGTTGAAAAACCCTGAAGGCAAAAAAAGAAAAAATTAAACAGCTAAATAATCTGGTTAGCAAAGACACATTAATAATTCTTGTATTAATGCAGAGGCTTTTTTTGTGTGTGTTTGTGTGTTTTTTTTGGTGTGTGTGTGTGTGTGTGTTTTGTTCAGACAACTATTTTATTCCTTTCTGGAAAATGAAAAATCCATTAGTTTTTTTCCTTTTGCTTTTACCCAGAAATTAAAGGTTGGTAAGTGGTAATTAGCACAGCTCTTGTCAAAGCCAGTTGCCTAATGGGGACTGACACTTGACTTGAAAGAATGGAATATGGCTGATGTAGAGTTCATTAGTCCCAGCTGCTTTCGTTGACATTCTTTCCTCCTGCCGTAAGAACAGGCTTGCCCTGCTCTCCCTCCTATTTTTTTCCCATCCCTCCTATTTTTAGACATGTTGCTGTGCTGCTACTTTTCTGTTTTAGAAGGCTTAGAGGCACAGTGGTGGAGGGAAGGTAAATGGTGACCAGGGGCAGTGCAATGTGTTTGCAACCGCTCTCACGACACATTTGGGCAGGAGTTTGCAGTCTAAGGCCCTGTCCCTAGAGACCCATAGATGGGCGCCTCCTAAGGACAGACACAGCCCTGTCTCTGCTCCGCCCGCCATCTCTGTGCCTGGGGAGATGAAAGGGAGCCACTCTAGCCCGCTGCTAGACACTGTGCACGTCCTCACATCATTTACCTCTTTCAGTCTTGGGGCCTTATACTAACCTTACCTTTTTGGCAACTAAGGTCCCCAAAGGTTAGACTCAACACGGGTTTGTCTCACTCCAAACCCACAGTGCTTTTTCCTTTATCCTGTGCAGCTGACATGCTTGGTGACTTTGTTTCAAGTACAGAATTCCAACAGCCAGTCAAACAAAGCTCCTCTGTGTACTTGACAAAAATACGATGTTGATAGAGCTGGTGAGGAGAGAGCATTCTTCAGCGTCCGCTACTCTTGTGCTCACTACGTGGCTGATTTACTTCTCATACCCACGTCACAACGGCTACAGTTAGAAACCTTTTGGCAATTATGTTGTAGACATTTTAGGCCTTTTCCAACTTATGACATTAGGAGAGCAACATCAGTGACCTGGATGTGGAGTTGAAGAGTGAGTGGACCTAAAAGAAAATACAAGTGGCCACCTGCTAGCCCACTTTCTGGCTGTCTCGCTGCCTGGCCTGTCTGGCCACGCCTGTGGACTCCCCGGCATCCACACGGCCGAGTGTGTAGGACAGGCTGCGGGGGGAAAAGAACCCGAGGACCTGCCTTTGAATCCTGGCCCCCCAACGGTGACATGAGGCCAGCCAACCTCTCTGAGCACAGCTCTGCTCGTGTATAAAAGGAGAGGCGCCGAGCCACACCTCGCTCAGCGCATGCAGTTTTGTGAGGCCCCCATGTGGCAGGTGCAGCTGGCATTACTGCCCCATCCGGGCCTTTGGAAAATGTGTGGGAAGCTTTTAGTTATCTCAGTACCTGAAGGTTGCTACTGGCATTGAGTGGAGGGGGGGGGGGGGATGCGGGTCTTCGAGCAAAGTTATAGGACAATCCCACACAATGGAGAACTGTCCCACTTCCCATGTGACTTTTGGTCGGCACTCGTATGGATATGGATGAAAACCTAAATTATCCTAGCCTGAAACCAAATTCTGTTTTATGTAGAAATACGAAGTATTTTCCCCAGTTTTGATGTTCCCTGGATTTTTCAAGAATGCAGCCACCTTGTACAGATGTCATTTGTTCAGGTCACTGATAGGGGAGATCCCATTACGAAGGGCAATGCTGCTCGTGGTATTTGAGTTGACAATCACTACAGACCCGTGTCTGGCTGCCTGTCAAGTTCACGGTAATTCAGTGTCTACATCTTACAGTGTCTTTGTGCCGTCGGTATAGTCATGCCAGACAGAGACATACTGAGATACATGCCATTTTATTGGAAATTTCCCTTTTGTTTCTTCTGAAATATTACATGTGGGGTATTATGTCAGTGGTTTTGAAAGTACACATGTAGGCAGGTTATCAGCCCTGGCTTTTGTTTAAGGACAATTAAGGAGGCATGACAAAATGTGCTATCAAAAAGGCAATGGGGCTAAGAAGTGAGAACCCAGGGTGTGAGGCATTAGGGAAAGGATGCTGAGTGCAGCAGAGCCTTCCTTCAAGATCACAGAAGAAAAGGTTTTCTATTCCATGTGTTTTCTGCACCCACCCTGGCCCCGGGACTTCCTGTTGTATTTCTTCTTTGAATAATTAGCCTAAAATAATAATTAGCCAATGTATCTCGTAATAGCATTCTACTTTCCTCTAAGCATGCTTAAAAAAAGTCCCTGATAACCCAGTACCTTTTCCCTGCAAGGAGAGGTACAAAACCTGAAGAGTAAGTCTGCACAGAAAAAGAAGTATGTAAACCAGAAGTCTCTGCTTTGCACCCAGAGAGACTCAGTCATGTCGCATGGAAATGGATTTAATGACCTCTTACCCCCCTGCTGATAAAACATATTAGAAAACGGAGAAGGGTTTCGGATACAGCTCAACAATACTGACTTGGATATTAGAAATCGTGAGACTCTCCGCATCCCTAAGGCCTGCAAACTTAATATGTGCCTTTGAACAGACACACAAAAAAGTTAATTAATTTGAGAAACAAGTTTGTGGCCATAATCAACACTATTGTGCCACCTTCTTTACCATTATTTGTTTAAATTCTGCATTTCTATCTTTAGAACAGGATGGTGAGTCTGAAGTATGACAATTTCTTTTCACTGCCCTTCGCCATGTCAAACAGGACGTAAGAACATGTAGAGGAGGTGGGTATATTGGTGCAGCTACATCATTCACAATGGGCAGAAGGGCAGATGCTGGGATCTGGAACAGTCTTCCAGCCTCTCCCAGGAGACTGTGCTCCAAGGCAGGGGGCAGAGTAGGACACAGGTAGCTGAAAGGGCTGAAGGGATTTACCGAGAACAAAGCCGAGGTCACACGGCTCTCTTTGGCGCATCTGCAGCTACAGCTATGCGGGCTCTTGCCTGGCTCGTTTGGGGTTCTGCTGTTCTCCGGGCAGGGAGTCCCTCCGTGCTGAAATGCTCCTGAGAGAGTGCAAACTCTGTACCTGCTGCAGGCGCAGGCTCAGCTCCTGCTCACAGGCCTGTTGAACAGTTTCTGTCTTCTTTACATCCCAGTGCAGAGCAACAGCCAGCGCCTTGGGGTCTTCCTTGGTGACCAACTGCGGCAAGAATAAGAGCCACTGAGAGCCACGACCTCTGCCCCCTCTTCTGCTCCCGCGGCTTCTTAGGGGAGTGCAGTTGGACGATTCGGGTTGGTTATGTCCCTGCAGAAATGCCAGGTCTCCTTCACAGGAAACTGTCCTGGGCCTTCTCTGACCATACACCACCAACAGGAAAGGCTCTCTGGAAAGAAGTTTACTCAGAGCAACTACAAAGTCCTCCACTTACAGGAAATGTAGCCATGTTCAAGTCAATACAGTTTCCTTCCCAGCTGGCTACAATGCGGAGGTAGTTGGGACAAAGGTGAAAGGAAGCAGCAGCCCCCTGTGATGGGTTCTCTTCGTCAAGCTTCTAGTTCCCTGGCCTTAGGGCCGGCACAGGGCGGCCCTGGAGTGTGCCTTTCCCTGTGACGGTGTATGTGCCTCGACTGCCTTCGAACCCTCTGGAACCACTGACGGCGCAGAAGCCGTGGCAGAAGCTGAGCCTGCTGTCCCTCCCTATCAGGCTTCCTCACCTCCTTGCCCACTGTGGATCAGAAAGTCAGGTTTGATGATCTGTGGGAGTGCGTCCATTTTGTGCAAGCCATTCTGATTTGGATTACATGTGGTGTTTGCAAAGGCTCTGGCATATAATAGGCAAACTGGCAGCTAAGACTCAGGGGCCGCGGAGGTGGAAAACATCCCACACAAGCCCCTGCAGGCTATGCTACACCTCCAGGGGGAGCCGCTCTCTGTAGCTCAGGCTCCCAGCTTCTCGCCCACCTCCAAATCCTGGCTCGACAAACTCAGCTCTGGCGCAGGCTTCTCCTTCAGCACGGTAAGGATCTGGCTCGAAAGGGCAATTTCGGAGGAGGGCTCTCTGCTCAGACCCGTGTCCACGGCATCACCCCCGTCACCGAGGCCAGCTTGGGACTCTGCAAAGCAGACGTGAAATGGAGATCAGCACAGTGCGTGACCACAGCCCACCCACCTCCAGCCGGAGGAATCAGGGCAAGGCAGACACGTCATGTCAAGATGCCAGCCACTGTGGCTCCCCTGCTCTGGGCTCCGTTACAATCGGTTCTCTCTCCAGGAAAGGCTCTATGGCACCCGGTTCCCGGCGTGACTCCCCCGCCGGTGAGTCCTACCTTGCTGCTTCGACAAGATGCTGCCCTCCTTCTCCAAAGCCTGGAGGTAAAGCTCCAACAGCTGCCTGGACTGACGGGCTTCCTCTCTCTGGTCAAGCACCTGCTGCAGGGTGTTCTGGAGCCCCTGGACTGTGACACAGCTTTGGCCCAGCTCCTGAGCCAGGTCTGCACAGGGAACATCGATGAGCACCTAACAAACAAACACAGACTTCAAGAAACCTACAAGTACTTTCTTTTTTTTGAAAAGAATAGTTTATTGCTTTTTTAGAGAGAGGGAAGAAGGGAAGGGAGAGGGAGAGAGAAGCATTGATGTGAGAATGCAACACCGGTCAGCGGCCTCCTGCATGCCCTCCCCCAGGGACCCAGCCTGCCGCCGAGGCATGTGCCCTGACTGGGAATCGAACCAGCAAGCCGTTGGTGCACGGGACAAGGCCCGACCAACTGAATCACACCAGACGGGGCTACAAGTACTTTCTAAGCAGGCTGTTATCTCTCTCAAATTCATCAGTTTCACAGACTCGTTTAATCTATTTTCCAAAGTTTCCTAATGGCTGCTTGGGAGTCAAGAGAGAAGCATGCAATGTTTTCAGTTTTCCTCTGGTGAAAAAATTCGGAAAATGATGCCCTAATGCCCATTAAAAACTAAATAAAATCCTGATATTAGAAAACCCAAATGTACAGAATATAAAGGAGGTATATGATTATTTATATAATGAATCGATCTCGGGTTGTTTTAAGCAAAAGTTTTTCTAATCATTTTAGCCTTAAGCATGTTTATAGCTTTAAAAGACTATTTTAGCCCTAGCTGGTTTGGCTCAGTGGATAGAGGGTCAGCCTGCAGACTGAAAGGTCCCAGGTTCGATTCTGGTCAAGGGCACATGCCTGGGTTGTGGACTGGACCCCCAGTAGGGGGCGTGCAGGAGGCAGCCGATAAGTGGTTCTTTCTCATCATTGATGTTTCCATCTTTCTTTCCCTCTCCCTTCCTCTTTGAAATGAACAACAACAACAAAAAGTGAAAACAAAACAAAACTCAAGCTTGCTCCTGCCCTCCATCTGCCAGGAGCACTCTGGCCCCAGCTTTCCAAGGCTGGCTCCACCCTGTCCTTCAGCTCTCAATTTAATCGCCAGCTCTTGGAAGCCTGCCAGTGTTTACCAACTACGCTTCTATATACGTGCATGCAAGTGTGCAAAATGTCGCTGGTGTAAGTTTTTTTGCAGCATTGTCTGATGACAACCGAAACATCCACCAGTGGGGGAGACTCGTTAAACAAAGCACGGTACACGCGTGACATGCAATACTATGCGGTGGCAAAAAGAACCAGGATGCCTTTTATGTGCTGGTCTGGATACTCTCCAAATACCTCTTTGAAAACAGAGCAGATATGCTTCTGTCTGTGCAATCTAGGGGAGGAGGAGAAAATACATGTATTTGTTGTAGGGAGGGGCTATAGGGTCAAGCCTCAGATATAGCCGCTCCCTACAATTTGTATATAAAATATCTCTGGAATAGGAGGAAACTGACAGGTTGGCTGTCTCCAGGAAGGGAAGCCTGGGTAGCGAAGAGGCAGGAGTCAGACTTTCCTGTGTACACCCCCTAACCCCCAGCAGTTTTATTGAGATATGATTTCATACCATACAATTCACCCTCTAAATGTACAATTCAGTGGGTTTTGGTATAGTCACAGGATTCTGCAATCATCAGCACAATCTTTTTAGAACATTTTCATTCCCCCCAAAAGAAACCCCATACCTATTAGGGGTCATTTCCTACTTCTCCTCAAAGCTCCCCACCAACCCCAGCCCTAGGCAACCACTAACCTACTTTCTATCGCTACAGGTTTGTGTATTCTGGCCCTTTCGTTATATTTGCTATCATAAAATATGTGGCCTTTCGTGGCTGGCTTCTTTTCCTTAGCAGTTTCCAGGATTGATCTACGATGTAGTGTGTATTAACAATTCACTCCTTTCTATGGCTGGATAATACTCATTAGGAGGATACGTCACATTATTACTTACTCATCAGCTGGTGGACACGGGCTCTTCTCACTTTTTAGCTACCTGGTTATCCCTCTATACCTCTTGGATTTGTAAACATGTGAATGTATTATTTATTCAAAATAAATATATACGTTTACTAATTAACCAAAGGTCACCTCCTTGAAGGGAGCCTTGACCTCCCAATCTGGAGTAACGCCCACTCCCGGCACATCGCCCTGTACCGTTCATTTCTTGTTTTGTCTGCCTTCCTTCACCAGAATTCAAGTTCCCTTGGAACAGCGACTGTGGCTGCCTGGTTCACAACTGGACCCCAGTATACAGAGACATGCCAGACCCAGGGCAGGGCTCAATAAACAGCTTTGTGAATTAACACACACTATTTTATCTCCACTTTACTGGAGGTAATGCCGGCAGAGAAGCTAAATTACTGGCTCAAGGTCACAGTGATGGAGCTGGGATTTTAATCGAGCTTCTGCACCTCCACATTCTCTAGCAGAACATCCTAGACCCCCAGAGTGGGCCTAATAGGTCTAGGTGAGGCCTGAGCATCGGTATTTTTAAAAGTTCCACAGATGATTCTGACGCAAGGTGAGGGCTGAAAAATTCCTGTTCCAGGTGAGCACATTAGAAAATGAAGAATCTTGGTTGTCATTGAAGAAATATTTAAAAATTAATAAATGAGCCCAGTCCTAGCTGGTTTGGCTCAGTGGCTAGAGCATCGGCCTGAAGACTGAAAGGTCCCGGGTTCGATTCCGGTCAAGGGCACATGCCTGGGTTGTGGGCTTGATCTCCAATTCAGGGCGTGCAGGAGGCAGCCGATCAATGATTCTCTCTCATCATCGATGTTTCTATTTCTCTCTCTCTCTCCCTTCCTCTCGGAAACAAAAAAAAAAATTTAAATAAATAAATAAATAAGCCCAGCTGGTGTGGCTCAGTGGCTGAGCATCGACCCATGAACCAAGAGGTCACCAGTTCAATTCCCTGTCAGGGCACATGCCTGGGTTGCAGGCTCGATCCCCAGTAGAAGGCGTGCAGGAGGCAGCCAATCAAAGATGTTTCTCTCATCGATGTTTCTTCCCCTCTCCTTTTCTCTCTCATTAATAAATAATAAAAGTATTGCCCTAACTGGTTTGGCTCAGTGGATAGAGCGTCGGCCTGCAGACTGAAGGGTCCCAGGTTCGATTCTGGTCAAGGGCATGTACCTTGGTTGTGGGCACATCCCCAGTAGGAGGTGTGCAGGAGGCAGCTGATCGATGTTTCTCTCTCATCGATGTTTCTTACTCTCTATTCCTCTTCCTTCCTCTCTGTAAAAATCAATAAAATATATGTATAAAAAAGTAATAATAATAAATGTATTATGGCAAGACCCATGGAAACTAAGAAACTGTTGTGGGCGGCAGAGGCCAGACGTGAGGCAGTGAGCTGTGGAGGAGGCTTACTTGGAGGTCCTCCTCTGACAGGAGGACGATGCTGGACAGATCTTCTTTCAGCTGCCTGGCCACATTTCTCCACTTCAACTCTGCCCCGCTGTCTGTTTCGTCCACATCCACGGACTCCTGGGAAAGCCAAGCGGTACCTCCGTCTGACATGTGGGGAAAAGGCCAGTCACATCAGATGAACTGAAAGTGTTGTTTTCACGCCCCCTCCCCCCAACACACACAGCCCTCCAGCATGTCTGCACATCCTTCCGAATGACCATCTATAATAATAAAATCGTAATATGCTAATTAGACCGAAGTCCTTCCGGAAAACCTTCCGGATGAAGCCAGGGCTGTGAGGGCCGAGGCAGAGGGAGCCGTGGAGGCAGCAGGGGGCCCGAGCCCCTTGAACGATTTTCGTGCATCGGGCCTCTAGTTTAGAATAATTTCAATGGAGAAGGAAGCACCTTTTCTTAAGGTTATGGGAAAGCCAATCTCCAACTAATTTTCCCTCTTCTTCCATATTTAAAAACATTTTTTTTATTGATTTCAGAGAGGAAGGGAGAGGGAGAGAGAGATAGAAACATCAATGATGAGAATCATTGATTGACTGCCTACTGCACGCCCCCTACTGGGGATGGAGCCTGAAACCCGGGCATGAGCTCTGATCAGGAATTGAACTGGTGACCTCTTGGTCATGGGTCGACGCTCAACCACAGAGCCACACTTTATTTCTGCATGTAACTGCTCTTTATTCTTTTATGGAAAGAAGCTACCCAGGGTCCTACCACACTTCTCTTTAGGTTCCTTTTGCGTCTCTGAGTATATAGGACATTCATTCTCACTATGCTTGTGGACTGGTCTTGCCCTTGATTGGAGGAGCTGTGGCTACTGCTGTCCCTGGGGGACAAAGTTGGCTGGGAGAGCCATTGCTGAAGGTTAGTTCCTCAATTTAGTGGCCTGAGGACTTTCCTTAAGGCACTTCTTTAGCTCTTTGATCTTTGCTCATCAATTTTAGTTCCCTTTGCATCCCCGGTGATGACGGTGACAGTAACGTTTATTGAGCCCTAATGTGTGACAGGTAAGATCTAACTGCTTTCTGTCAGAGGTTCTCAACTGGTAGTGATTTTGCTCCCCAGGAGACATTTGACAATGTCAGGAGGCATTTTTGACGGCATAACTGTGGTGAGGAGGTGCTACTGGCATATAGAGGGCAAAGACCAGGGATGTTGCTAAACCTTCTACAATGCACAGGACAGCCCCACAACAAAGAATTCTCCAGCCCAAAACGTCAGCAGTCGTATCGAGAAACCCTGGTTTGACACGTACTATGTCCTGTTCTCCTTACAGCAATCCTAGGAGTCAGGTGCCATAATTATCATCTCAATTAGGTGCTGAGAAGTTAGGTAATTTGGCCAAGGTCACACGGCTAGCAGATGGCAGAGCCTGGACTCAGGTGGGGCAGCCTGACTCTTCCCGTGGCACGGATCGCTCTGCCACGCTGCATTTTCGTTGCTGTTGGTCTGTGAGTTACTTGAGAATTGGGCCCATCTTCACCCCCAGGCTCAGCACCGTACCTGGCATTCCTAGACCGTCAGACAAACAGTAACCCGGGGCCTGAGCAGGAACATGAATCATGACGGATACTGTATTGCACAGACCATTTGCACATGGCCAGCATTTCTTACCTGAGTTGTTGTACGCCCACTTCTCATTACCGGCCAATGCCACAAACTTAGTATTAGAAGGTAGACACAGGAAGTAATCGTCATCATCCACTATGGTGCCATCCTCTGCCAGGACCAAGGTGATTGGTGCCAGGGACTTATCCATGGCCAGGATGTCATAGGCTGAGAGAAAGAAAACATTTGGCAATTGACAAGTATCCATAAGGAAAACACACGTATCCGTTCACTCTCAATTTGTATGGCCCTAGGGCCTAGCAGAATTCCTGGTGGGTAATGATAACTACAACAACAGCCACAACTTTAGTCGCACTAATATAACAATTTCATGGGCCTGGTACTGTTCTAAGTGCTCGGCACATAGAGTATTTAATCTCATAACAATCCTATGAGGTAGAGACTATTGTTACCCCCATTTTACAGACATCAAGCCCAAAGCTGGGAGAAGTTAAGTAACTTGTCCAAGACAGCACATTAAGTAACAGAACTGGTATTTACACCTGCAGAATCTGGCTCAATTCCTTGTAAACAAGCAGCCTTTCAATCACTTATTCAGCGGTCATCTTAAACTCTTCTGTGTCAAATGTAAAAAAAAAGTTATGCTTTTTGTTCTCTGTAGGATCTTTCTTTGCAGCCTTTATAACCTATGGGAAGGTATAAAGAAGCAGAAACTTCTATCAGTAGCCTAAGATGATAATGAGACAAGAGTAAGCAGAGAAGTAGCCAAGACTACAAATATCCTCAAGGCAATGTTGTCTCCCTCCCCAAATGGAGGAGGAGCTCCAGAGAGCACAGCACTTACAGGGTCTCTGTGCCAACTGCAACCTGGCAGTGAAAGGGCACTAAACTCTACCCGAATGCCAACCATAAATAAATACATGTAAAGACATAGGGCAAAAGCATGTCACTAAAGCATGGACAGCCCTGGGGCTGCTCCTGGGTTCTGCCTGCCTTCTCTGCGGCCTGATGACCATGAGAGGAAGCCCTGAACCCTGGCACACACTGGGACTGCATGCCTGGGAACCACTGGTAGAATTCCTTTAAACAATTTACTTCTACAGACTAATAACGCTTGTAAATTATTTGCATGTATCCTCTGGGAGCCTTGGGACGGAAATGACTCAATAGCCATTTACACGTTTCAAAGCCTTTACAATCCTGGGAAGCAGAGCTGGAAATATTATATCCACTGCCAACGAGAAAACAGAGATGCTGCGTTAGTGCAAGATCAAGTAGCTAGTAACAACCTGGGGCGGGCTCAGGACTTCTGTCAACTCATCACAACATGCGATCTTTGTCGGTGGCAAGCAGCTCCCTCTTTATCGCACAGGCACCTGCCAGAGCTGAGGGTGGAAACCCGCCCCACCCCGCCATGGGCTCACCTGGGAGAGCCCGAGTGATAAGAAGGCACTAGGCTGGGATTTGGTCCAAAACCTCAATGATTTTAGGCAAGATACCTACATCGAGTCTGTTTTAATTTGCAAAATGCTTCCCGTCTACCTTTCCACCATGATGAGGGTCGCACAAGATAAGTTAAAGCGCTTGTGAACGCTTTGAAACTTGTAAATCGCTATTGAGTCATTTCCGTCCCAAGGCTCCCAGAGCTCCAAGAATCCCAAGTCGCCTCTCTCCACCCCGCCTTGCCCCCGCCGACCTCCTCACGCGGCCCCGGCCCGCCTCTGCCCCGGCCCCCCAAGGCCTCGCCTCGGCCCCCAGGCCGTGCCTACCCTTGCTCCTCAGGTCCTCGAGGCAGGAGGCCGCCACGCCGTACTGCTCGCGGCTGTGGTTGCGGCGCAGCAGACACGGCTTTAGAGCCTGATTGTCGCCGGGTTCCGGACCACTGGCGCCCCAAGACACCTCCATCCTCTACAGGAGCGGGACCTGATTGACTCCGGGAAGTCGCTGAGGCTAGTGCCGGGGTCCTCCACCCACTCCCCTGGCATGCCGGGAGATGTAGTTCTCTCCGTAGCAAATCACGCATGGGACCCAAGGGACGCCGGGAGTTGTAGTTCTAATGGACGCCGATCGCGTGCGGTCCCCGGGCCATGCCGGGAGCTGTAGTATCTGGGTGCAAAGCCGGCTTGGTTACGTCGCCCAATTCGACCTGGAAGAGTGTTTTCCTACCTTGTATTTAGTAGTAGCAATGGCGCGTTCAAAATGAGGTCAATAGGGGTTTATTTTGCATTATGGACGATACGCATGCATCCTCCCTTGACTTGTTAGAGCACTCCTATTTGCATGTATACATGTGTAATATGAATACTTTGAGTCTGTTATTGCTCTGTACTAATTTGTTTTCCCTTTCCAACCTGAAAAGTTCTGTAAGATGCCCCATCTTTCAGGCTGATCTGAAGGAAGTCAATTTAAAAAATTGATGAGGCTGTTTCAGTCTTGCTGAAAAACATAACAGAGAAGCATAAGATAATCACACATTTCCGTTCAACTCCCTGCTTCAGCCGTGCAACTAGGGTTGGACTCATAACAAAATGCGTAAGTAAATAGGTAAATATTACGGTCTAAATGAAATCAGAGAGGAAAGTGGAAATGCGAGCCACATCACTGAGATTATATATATATATAATAACATGTATATATATATATATATTTTTAATATGTATATATATGTGTGTGTATATATATGCATATGTATGAATATCTGTATATATATGTATATATGTATATATGTATATATGTATATATATGTATATATGAGTGCAAAAAGGACAGACCTCGGATCTTCCTGGAAAGCAGAGACCTGATGAAAATTGTGCGAGGTGATTCGACGTGAGAGTTCCCCCGCCTCCCCGGGTGGCCTCCATCGATAAGCTCGGTTCGGCTACTTTAGTCTGGGCGGGAGAGCGAGAGCGAGGGCGCCTGGGAGAAGCCTCGCCCCGCGGCGATCGATTAGTCAGGCCTCGGAAAGATGGCGTCCTCGGAGCAGGCAGAGCAGCCGAGCCAGGTGAGGGGAGCCGGACGGCCCGACCGTGGTGGCGGGGACCCCCGCTGGAGGGGGCGCTCGGTGTGCGGCTGGGAGTCGGGTGGGGACCCTGCGCTTCGGAAACCGGGGGCCAGACCTCGCTTGCCCCCTCCTTCCCCGCCCCTCCCCGGGTCCTCGCCGCCCGGCCCCTCCCCCGTGACCCCTCTTTGACCACCTTCCCGAGCCCGGGCCGCCCGCAGGTGCCACTACCCGCCTGCCGGCCCCTGGGGTCTCCCTTGCGCTGGGCCGGGCCGGTGGCGGGACCCCGAGAAGCCCCCAGCCCGGAGCTGCGAGGGCTCCTGCTCGAGGAGGGAGAGGCGCGGTGGGTCTGGCTGTCCCTCGGGGAGGGGCCTGCCTCCCTCGGGGCTCGCACCCCCCGCCGCCTCAGCCTCAGGGGTGGCCCCGCCGGCCCCCGCTTCGTTGTCAGTCACCTTTGCGCGCCCCTCGCCGAGTGGGAGGGTCGGGGTGACCCGCTCTGCGTTGGTGGGAAGGGGCTGACTCCATGTAAACAGCCGCCACCACGCTGTCTGCTCAGGACCCGTCCTCGCTCCCCAGGGTTCGGTGTCTCCACCCAGAGCTCCGGTGTAGCGGTTCGGCCACAGGTTCAGCCGCACCTCATCAGTTGCGGGGACCCCGAGTGTGGCGGGGACCCCGAGGGCCCGTGCCCATGCCTGTGGCCCGCCGTCGGGAACAGTGGGTGACGCGACTCCGTAGGGGTCGGCGGTCCGCGGTGGAGGGGCTGGGGCGGGGGTGAGCGGCACCTTCCTTGCCTTTACCGAGCGTGTGCTGCCATCGCTGCCAGGCCGAGGACAGATGGCGTGTGTTGTCTCGTTCGATGCTCATCAGAACCCCTGAGAAGCACAGGCCATTAACCACCATGTTGCAGAAGCGGATCCTAAGGGTCTGCCTGAGGGAGCCTGGACTTGCAGCCAGGCGTGCGCGACTCCACCCGTCGGCCAGGCGCGTGTGCATTTAGTTGGGATGAGAGAGAGGAAGGAGAAAAGGCTTGCAGCCCGGACCGCTTCGGGCATCTCTCACATCCAAGCACCTGTGGACTTCCGGGCAGCCTCCCGGTGCTTCGCGTCCCCTCCAGGCAGGACAGCCCCGCTCAGTGTTTCTTACTGTTTTGTTCTCCCCGATGCGTTTATTAGGGGAGTTGCACGTAGAGGAGTTGAGTGCTCCCCAGACCAGCTTCCGTTATAGGGGTGAGTGGTCAGAAAGATAGATGGTAAAACAGGGGAAGCAATGAAGGCTGAGTCTGGCCTTCTCACTGTCAGGAAATTCTGGAGTGCGAGGCCGTCCCGAGAGAAGGGCCCTCCTGTCTTGCCTTACCCCGTACGGCTCGCTGAAATGCCGGGGCGCCTCGGAATCTGGGCTTCTCCCGACTGTTAAATGTCAGGAGTGCCCACAGGCTGGGATGCTATTGGCATATAGAGGGCAATATGCCAATGGAAGGGATGAAAGGGTGCCTTCAGGCCCTGGGCGTCTATTTGCCAGTGCCACGTGGAGCCATGGTAGGGCCCAAAGGTTTCTTTGGTTCTGGACTTGCCCCCTCTGTCCCCGTGGAAAGGCTCTAAGGTCCTCCAAGGGGACGTGGCCAGGCCTGTTTGGTTTCAGCTCTGCTTCTCCTTTGCCCTCTTTTCCAAAGTCGATGGAGATGGGATTGCATCAGAATATGCTGGCAGCTCGGAGGAAAACTTGGACTCTTCATGCCAAATTCTCTCACTGACAATAAGCTGCAAACGCGCACTTTTTAAGTGAACCAACTCTTTTTATCATTTATTGATTTCTAGAGAGAGAGGAAGGGAGAAGAGAGAAACATCGATGTGAGAGCAGAACATCAGTCAGCTGCCTCCTTTATGGTCCCGGGGGCCAAGCCCTCAATCCGGGCAAGTGCCCTGATCGGAACTGGACCAGCAGGCCTTTGGTGCAACGCCCAACTGAGTGACCCAGGCCGCAGGTGCCATTTCATTTTTAAGTCCTGATCAACCTGTTTTCTTTTTCTCTAGTCAAAGCAGAGTGGAATCGAAAGAACTGTTTGGAGAATTCCCCCAAACTTGGTTTGTATGTAGGAAGAGCTGCATTACTCCTGTGGGGCGGAGTCAGTGTTCTGTCTCTCATAGAAAATTTGTTAGTTGTCTTCGTGGAATCAATATCTCATTTCGAAAGATTAGGAGTGAGTAACCAACTGTTTCTTCCTTAACAGGCAATGAGGAGCAGTGGTTAAAAGTATGAGCTCTGAGGCCATCCCCACTGGCTAGAATCCTAGCCCCCACTATTACCATCTGGGTGATCTTAGATAAATTACTTAATTTTTCTGGCCTTAGATCCTCCATCTGTAAAATGGGAATGAAACTAGTGCCTATTGCATGGGTTGTCCTTGAGGATTAAGTAAGTTAACTTACTTTAGAAGAGTGCCTGATATATAATGTCTTATCTATTTTTTTAAATTAAATCTTTATTTTTCAGATTATTACAGTTGTTCCTCTTTTTTCCCTCCACCTGGTTCCCACCCCACCCCCTGCCCTTACCGCCCCCCCGCACTGTCTTCATCCATAGGTGTACGATTTTTGCCCAGTCTCTTCCCGCATCCCCCACACCCCTCTCCCCCCCCCCCCCCAGAATAGTCAGTCCACTCCCTTTCTATGCCCCTGATTCTATTATATTCACAAGTTTATTCTGTTCATCACTTGCTTTTTAGATTCACTTGTTGATAGATGTGTATTTGTTGTTCATAATTTGTATCTTTACCTTTTTCTTCTTCTTCCTCTTCTTAAAGGATACCTTTCAGCATTTCATATAATACTGGTTTGGTGGTGATGAACTCCTTTAGCTTTTTCTTATCTGTGAAGCTCTTTATCTGACCTTCAATTCTGAATGATAGCTTTGCTGGGTAAAGTAATCTTGGTTGTAGGTTCTTGCTATTCATCACTTTGAATATTTCTTGCCACTCTCTTCTGGCCTGCATAGTTTCTGTTGAGAAATCAGCTGACAGTCGTATGGGTACTCCCTTGTAGGTAACTGACTGTCTTTCTCTTGCTGCTTTTAAGATTCTCTCTTTGTCTTTTGCTCTTGGCATTTTAATTATGTTGTGTCTTGGTGTGGTCCTCTTTGGATTCCTTTTGTTTGGGGTTCTCTGCGCTTCCTGGACCTGAAAGTCTATTTCTTTCACCAGGTAGGGGAAGTTTTCTGTCATTATTTCTTTAAATAGGTTTTCAATATCTTGCTCTCTCTCTTCATCTGGCACCCCCATAATTCAGATGTTGGTACGCTTGAAGTTGTCCCAGAGGCTCCTTACACTATCTTCATATTTTTGGATTCTTTTTTCTTTTTGTTTTTCCGGTTGGGTGTTTTTTGCTTCTTTGTATTTCAAATCTTTAACTTGATTCTTGTGATCCTCTAGTCTGCTGTTGGAACTCTGTATAATATTCTTTATTTCAGTCAGTGTATGCTTAATTTCTAGTTGGTCCTTATTCATATCCTCGAGGGTCTCACTAGAGTTCTTGAGGGTCTCACTAAATTTAAGGGCGGTTTCTAGAAAATTCTTGAAAAACCTTATAAGTGTGGTTTTGAAGTCTATATCCTGTAGTTTGCTTTCCTCCATTTCTGTCATTTGTGACCTGTTTCTTTGTCTCTGCATTTTTTATGCTTCCCTGTGTTGGTAGAGTGGTTTTGTGTGCTAGGTGTCCTATAGGGCCCAGTGGCTCAGCCTCCCCAATTACCTGAGATGGACACTCTTGTTGCACCCCTTTGTGGGCTTTGTGCACAGTCTTGTTGTAGTTAAGCCTTGATTGTTGTAGGTATCACTGGGAAGAATTGACCTCCAGGCCAATTGGCTGTGAGAATCAGCTGTGTTTGCAGTGGGAGAACTTCTGTGCTGGAGACACCCTTATGGGGCAAGACTTGCTTCAGTGGGGCTTTGGTGCTCACTGAGTCTGCCCCCTGAGTGTGTTCCTTATGGATCTGA